AAATCTTGAGACCGGAAACCCTGTCTAGTTTGCTTGCTGACAGAATCTTCTTAAGCCTAAACCCTAAACCCTAAACCCTAAACCCTAAACCCTAAACCCTGAACCCTAAACCCTGAACCCTAACCATGCGCCGTCATGCATCAGCCAGCAATCATTTCATGCGAAGGTCCCTGCTTCCTATGTGCGAATGACTTGGCAGATGCGTGGGAAAGGACGGAAGGAAGAGCAGATGAGCACGTGAAGGAACGAGACTTGTAGGGGTTTAGGGTTTAGGGTTAGGTGAAGGAACGAGAGTTATATCCGGCACAGAGAGGTTATGAAAGATGGGAAAAGCAAGATATTGCGTTGACCCTAAAGTTTTAACACAGCCCGATAAAGTCCTACACACTACTGCGTGTAGGGCCCTCTCGTGCAGGATCCTAAACTCTGAAAGATCAAGCCTCAACACTAAACCCCAAACCCCGCGCTTGCAGGCAACGTCACTGAGACAAGACGACTTGCAAAACCCGGCCATGCTGCAGGCGACGTTTAAAGTAGGGAATTTAAACTATTAGGGGTTTAGGGTTTTAGGTTGCAGGGTTTAGGGTTCAGGAAGAATTAGAAACGGGTTCTTGTAGGGTGTTCAGACGGTGTTTCAAGGATTTTCAAGACTTCGTTCAGGGTTCTAACACGTGGAACGGTTCTGTAAGGGTCGTTAAAGCAAGGGTTACAGTGGAGACTCTATGGGTTCATTCCTGTTGGAGTTTTGAATATCTAGCAACAAAGAGTATCACTGTATAGTCCGGTTTTGACGTTGCTATAATGCCAAGAAGCCCTATTATAACTCATCATGCCTTTACATCAGCCAAAAAAGGGTTCTATAGGATTTTAAGGTTGAGTGTGTAGGCTGTAGGGCTTAGGGTGGGTTTTCGGGTTGAGGGCTTTGCAATTGAGGTTTGGAGCGTTAGAGAAAGACGCCATACTACCAACAGCGTGCTTGACACTGCTAGAGGATTATGTTTCTTTTATCTTCCCTCAGGCCCAGACCGAAACCCAAAATCCAAAAGCCCTAAGCCCTTTGATCCCATCGAGCGTCGAAGCGCAGGTCTGCCTCCTGTTCCCTTTCCTGCCCGTTGTGTATACTTGTCAGGAGGTCCTCTGCTCAGTAGGAGTGACGGACGTACATGGAAGTAGCAACAAGAACGAGAATCCTGACATTCTCAGCAGTAGTAGTAGAAGTAGTAGGAGTACTAGGTTGAGGTCGTAACAGTGCTAGTAAGAGTAGTAGCAGTAGAAGTAGCAGTAGCAGTAGTAGCAGATGT